AAAGAGTGAAGAGTCTTTATTACTAAAGGGAAGAAGGGGGAAATGAGTTCTGGGGACAATAGTAGATTTTGCTCTGGGTCCTTTAGTGAACACTTTTGAGAACTGTATCATGAGTCATTATATTCTCTAAGTGTCTGTTTCTTGCTGGGTTCTCATACCTTCCCTATTGTAAAAGAAAAGGAGAGCTCTAATGGCATTGTGGGAGTTGGGCATTAAAATACTGAACCTCAAGGTCAGCAGTTCAAAACCACCAGCCACTCTATGGGAGAAAGATGAGGCTATCTGCTCTTACAAAGATGGATGGCCTCAGAAATCCTATACAGGGTCATCGTGAGTCAGAACTGATGTGGTGGCAGTGGATTGGGTTTTTTAAGTTTTTATTGTAAAATAATGGCACAGTCTGAGTTTCATGTCAGATCTTAGCCTGGATATAGAGTTGATGTATAACTATCTGGAACTACTTCATGTAAGAACCCATTCATATCTTCTAGGGTTTCCAGAGTCCACGGGGAATAGGACGCCAGCCAGAAGCCGTGTGTAGTCACATTATCATTGAGAGCCACGAAAAGGGCTGCTTGAGGACTCTGACTGCTCAGCAGACACAACTGGACGATCACCCGTGTGCCTTCCAATCCGATGAGCCAGAAGAAGCCTTCAGAGCACAGGAAGGCCCGTCGTCACGGAGAGCCAGGCACACGACCCTTTCCAGATCACTCGACCAGAACCACCCCCGTTTCAAAGTTTGGAATTCCTTGGGGCTGCAAAGCCACTCCCCATTTCCAGACTTTACATCTGATAACTTTAAAGTGAGCAAGGATCTTCGAATGCCATTCCATGAAAAGATGGACCCTTGGTTGTCAGAATTCGTAGAACCTTCTTGTGTGCCACTGGAGGGAATGGATATCCATGCTTCATCACACATCGCACCCCCAGAATCCCTGCAAAAAGTTACCACCTCCATTACTTTTGCATCTCACAGACATTCGAAATGCATTTCAGATTCCTCTGTTTTTAAGGTTGGTGTTACTGAAGGTGGTACTGGAACATCTGTGGGGGTATTTAATTCTCGTTTCACCGAAGAACAAAATCCCATTCACAATCAAAACCAGAGAGCCTCTTCCCCTTTTTCATTTAACATGTATAGTCATCCGCCTGATAGAAATCTGACTATTTTAGCGAAGAGCGGCAAGCAAAGCCACAAATTACCTGTTAATTTTGAACATGCTCACCAAGAAGAAAACCTCTTTAGAAAATCACATTTTAACATCAGTCCTTCTGAACCTCGTCCTAGGGTGCTTGGTAGCAATTTCATCAGCCAGGGCAGACTGAGTTCTGCACTCAGAGTGAAAGAGAAGAATATTGCTGTGACTCCAGATATTCCTTCACTGATTTTTCTTGAACAGCGTGAACTCTTTGAACAAACCAAAGTCCCACATGCAAATCATCACCTGAGAAAGCACCGTCACTCCCCTCCTCAGCATCAAGATTATGTACCTTCAAACCTCCCTTCTCAGTTCCTCCCAGAACAACAAGAGCTCTTTGAACAAAGCCAAGCCTCACATGAAGATTCCCAGATGAGGGAACACTCTACTCCCGTTCCTCCGGGCCAGGATTGCATCGCATTAGACCTTCCTTCGGACATTTTTCTTGAACAACGCAAGCTTTTGGAACAGAGCGGTGGCCCGTGTATAGATCACCACCATTCCCCCTTCCCTCCGGATCAGGGATGTGTCATGGGAAAGGACGACCACCATCATCAGCCCACACTACACGTTCCTGAGATGGTAAATGTTGACCCCGAGTTCAACAATAAAGTCTCCCATGCAGTCTCAGATCACTGTGCCCCACCTTTAAATAGAAAAGCAGTTTCTTGTGTTCGTATAACTCTTTCTCCCAAGGCTTCTTCCAAGTTGGAAAATGGAACCTCAGATAAAAGAGTACATAAAGTGGATCCTATTTATAAACCAAGGGTGAACAGAGAGTTCAACTCTGAGCAACAGACCGGATCTTCGATTGTGACGGAACCAAGCTCAGGATCTAAATCTTCACTAGACTTCCATATTGTACATTTTCCTGTTACAGACAGTAATATTACTACTCAAGACTTGAAAGTGGTACCTTCTCAGGGTAGTCAGGTAGAGACCTCAAGGCAAACACAAGCGAACGTTTCAACTAGGGAAGGCGCTTCCAAGACAGAGAGGACTCCTGCATCTGCTAATCGGTGAGTCCATGGTAATAACAAGTCAGCTGGCGGCATTTGTCATAAAGGGTTTAAAATACATTTAAGTACATTCAGCTGCTTGGAAGAAAGGCAATACAATTTCTCTTTGGGGAGATTGTATCTGATTCTTTTCATAGGTGTCTTTCAGGAAAATGAAATAGGGAAGAGAGAGCACGGAAGAGTAACATGCATTCTTTCAGAGGGCTTTTGGAAGAGTTAACATCATGTCTTGTGTAGCATCGTGATTCAAATGCAAGTCTTCTGTCTTCCATATATATTGTCCAGCCTTTATATGCACATGGTACAATGGGAAACAGGGAATATCTTTGCTTTTTAACACTTTAATAATATCTCTTGCACCAGATCTAATCAGTACGTCATTTGACTTCGTGATGGCTGCTTCCTTAGGTGTTGATTGTAGATACAAGTGAAATTAATTCCTTCCCATCATCATTACTTTCTCCATTGTGAAACCTTTACTTTCTTTATATTGAGGTATAATCCATACTGAAGGCAGTAGTCTTTGACTTTCACTGGTAAATGCCTCAAGTCTACTTCACTTTCAACAAGCAGGGTTGCTGAGACAGTATGTATGTATATATTGCAGCATGTTGCAATTGCATTGTAGTGCAGATTGTTAGTGAATCTTGTTCAGGCAAGCAAAGAGCTCCAGAAGGCTCAGGTTTTTGTGTCCTGTAGGAAGCCGACCACTCTGACAATGCCAAACCTGTGAGGGCTTCTTTTGTGTGACCCAAACTAGTGGGCAACAGGGTCTGGAGAGTTGCAGCCTCATGACTTGGTATCATCATAATCTATGTAGAATAAAGCATTCCTTCCCTTCCTACTTTTGTTAGGTTTCTGGGATCGTTTTCCCCGGTTCTTGCTTCTCAATGCTGAAAGAATTCAGCGCAGCAGAAGCACTTTTGTAAATCCAAGTAACTTTTATGAAGGAAAGGGAAGTTTCAGGTAATAGTTTCAGCAGTACATGCTATTTCTGGAAAATGTGCATGCCTGTGGGGGGGACCGCACAAATTTGAGACTGAAGATGGCTACTTCAGGGAGTGTGGAAAAGCCACGTGGAAGGAGCACCAGAACAAGAGAGCGACTGCCCTTGGTCTCTGCTTTTTATCCCCTCCTATCCCCACTGGAGCGGGGCATGATTGAGGGAACTGGCTGTTCTTAGTGGCTGAGTTCCGGTGCATGTGTGATGTAATGTTGCTGGTGCCTAGTGTGCAGGCCCAGGTTGACCTTCACCTGCCTGCGCCTAGGTGGCCTTGGTCTGAGCATGTCGAGCTGTGGATCGCCCCATGGGTGTCCAATGCCTGCCTGATTTCTTTCAAACCCCCTAATTTTTATTTATATTAGGTATTCAGTGGAGACAACCCCCTTTATCCCTAATCTTCCTACTTTTCACTTTTAGGGAAGATTTTTAAAGGATTTGTTATGTTAGACCAAAAATGGACGCACTGGTGTGGAGTTGAATCCAACTCGTAGCAACCTTATAGGCCAGTATGGACCTACTCCGTAGGGTCTCCAAGACTGTAAGTCTCTATGGAAGTGGACTGCGCCACATCTTTCTCCTGCAGGGAGTGTGGTGGGCTCAAACTGCTGATCTCTGTATCTAGGTGGTGTTGATTCCTCTTCTAGTGTTTGGTAGAATTCACCAAGGAAACCATCTGGCCAGTGCCTTTCTTTATTGCGAGGTTTTGGATGGTTGATTCAATCTTCTTGTTAGAGATTTTTTAAAATTTTCGATTTCTTCTGGAGTTACTTTTGGTAGTGTGTGTTTCTAGAAATCATTTCCATTAGGTTTTCCATGCGATGACATAAAATTGTTAACAGTGTTATTTTGTAATTTTTCTTTCCTTTAAAAGTAGATGTCCCCATGAGTTAGTTAATTGTGCCAGCCTGGCCGATAATCACATGTGGTGCTGGTTGAAAGGTGGAGGGATAAATGGGTGGTGAAGCCTCGCCTTTCTAGTTCTCGGGTCTCTTGTTTTCTGATGGTTGCATTGGGTGCAGCTGCCTTAGCAGTTCCCTGCTTCAGCTTGCAAGAATGACTTCCTACAAGACATCCCCAAGGAGAAGCTACATGGACCTACCCCATGCAGCCCTGGGTGCTGGAGCAGCCGTGTGGAGATGCTTACACGTTCACGGACTCAGCTTTCCTCCTGCAGTCGGCATTATTGCCTCTGTTTTGTGAGGTGAAGGACTTTGTGGACTGGTGTTGGGTTAATGGGTTAATGTTGGACTTGTGGGCTTGGGCAGCATTGGGTTGGGATGTTTTCATGATGCACATTTTCTTTGCGTAAAACTCTCTCTTATACATGAGTTGCTGTGGATTTGTTTCTCCAAAGTACCTAGACTAATACACCCCACTTTCATTTCTGTTTTTATAGATTGTATTGTATATCTTTTTTAAAGGAAATCTAGACAGATTTTGTCAATTTTTAAGTTTTCAAGAAAAAATTTTGTTTTTACTGATTTTTATCTTTTGTTTTCTGTTGTTTACCTCTGCTTTTATTTTTATTTTTCTAGCTTTGAGTATAGTTTGCTTACCTTCTTTTTCTAGTTCTTTAAGCAGTAAATGTTAGGTTATTGTTTTGAGTTGGTCTTTTTTAATGTGTGCAAATTTTCCTCTTAGCTGTACTTTCACACATCCCACAAATTTGAGTATGTTCTGTTTTTATTGTCATGTGTTCTAAGGTGTTTGCTGATAGCTCTATTTTTTTCTTAGACCCATTGACTGTTTAAGGATGTGTTCAACTTCAACCTATTTGTAAATTCCTTCTCTTCCCCCTTTTTTGCTTTTTATATTCCTTATTATTTTTATTATTTATTCAAGTTTCCAAACAGCACAAATATTAAGAGGTTGTGCTAAGCACCATCAGCATTATTCAGAACACTACCTTTACATTGTGACAGGATTTCTGCAAAATGATTTGAAGACGCTTTGTCCCTACTTCTTAGATTTATTGTGATTTCAGAAGCATCTTATGTGTATAGCTTTACAACTTTACATTTCCATTTGTGGAATATTTTTGCATATCTAAAATTTAGTGCTTTTATTTCTTTCATTCAGCTGTAAGAAATTGGTAGTACTCTGCATTATGATTAGTAAAGTAGGACAGCAAGAAGGAGGAAGCGTCTCAATGAAATGGTAACATGGTAACCGCAGCAACAGTTATGAGGGTGATGCAGGGCCAGTTCATTTTGTACTTACCCTCTGTTGCATGGAGGGTAAGCCGTGCGTTGGGACAGACTCAGTGGCACCTCACAACAACATCCGGACAAACGGGAAGCAAAAGCTTGAGTAAGACAAAGGTCTTCAGTTTTTAGATTAAAAGAGTAGGATGTTCACTTGCGCAGTTTAAAAACGTAATTAACTGAATGCTGTTTAAGGAAACAATGCAGGTGAGACACGTGGCAATCATGTCAACAGCTCTCATTCACGAAGGCAAAACTGTCTGCCAGACATGGCACAAAAAGCAAAGGAAGTAAGAAAAATAGCAATAGATGCCTTTTAAATTTTTATAAAAATGTATCCTCCAAAGATTATGTGATTATGTAGCCTGGGCACACGTCTAATTTTGACTTTACTGTGAATGCATAGCTTTATTTTTATCATCGTAGGTATACGAGGGGGTACCCCTCCGCCTCCAAAGCTGTGTCTTTAAATTTTTTTTTACAAAGCAACCTTATCACCTCAAAGTACTCTCCATTGCACTTAATACATTTGTCAAATCTGTACTTCCATCCCTGGAAACATTTTTCAAACTTATCTGTTTGGATGGCTGACTGCACCTTCCTCATTTTTTTTCTTCACCACTGCTTCTACTTAATCAAATAGCTGTCATTTTATGTCCCTCTTCATTCGCGGAAACAAAAAGAAGTCCCACGGAGTGAGGTCAGTTGATTAAAGTGCATGAGGCAAGGGTGTTTTTTTGCCCAAAACTGGCACACTGAGATGGCTGCGTGAGCAGGTGCATTGTTGTAGTGACAAAATTAGGCCTTTTTACCACATACCATTATGCAATCTTTTCAGAACCCCTAAATAGAAAGCTTGATTAACAGTCTGACCTGGTGGAACACACTATGAGTTGACATTTTTATCTGTGTGGGAGGGAAGTTGATGGACATCCAGAACGAGGTTTGTCATAAATCAACATTTCACCTTTTTTGAAAGTGGTTTTCTCGTACACTTGAGTTTTTCCTATAGCACTGCCCTTGTAAGCTGTGTTCAACACTACAACAGTTTCTGTGACATTTTTCCTGAGCAGGAAACAAAATTTCACAGCTGTATGCTGTTCTCTTAAATCTTGGCATCACGAAAAAAAAAAAAAAGGTTCAAACAAAACTGCTTCCATGAAAAAATTAACTGTGACCACAGAAAACCTTCCCAGGTGACAGCACTGGGTGCACTAACTCAGAGCAAATTGCTTGATGCTCACCTAGTAGGAAAAATGCATAAAACAGCTCTGCTCCACCCAGCACAATTCCAGGGGTGGTTTGGGGAGGGTTTTTTGGGGGGAGGTATCCCCTTGTATAAATAACATTTGCCAACTCAAAGGTTCGTGTGATATCAGCTAAATTAGTCATGTTCTACAAGACTCAATAGTAACCACTGCCAAACTTTTATCGCTGTAAGCAAACACGGCTTCCTACCCTTTACCATTCTTTCTCACCATTGGTAGCCAGTGACAGAACATTTATTTCTATTTTTAAAAGCGAGAACTGTCGTGAAGTGTTGTGCAGCAGATTTTTCCCAGTGCAATGAATGCGTCATTTGGTCTCTTGACTGCTGCTTCTATGAGTATTGATTGACATTCTTTTTTTATTATTATTTAATCATTTTATTGGGGGGCTCTTATAAATCTTAAAACAATCCATCATTCAGTAGTATTAAGCACACTTGTACATATGTTGCCATCAACATTTCCAAAACAATGTCTTTCTACTTGAGCCCTTGGTATCAGCTCCTTTTTTTTTTGCTCCTCCAACCCTCATGAATCCGTGATAAATTATATATTATTATTGTTATTTCTTGTCTTACACTGTCCATTCTCTCCCTTCACCCACCTTTCTATTATTCGTTCCCCTGAAGATGAAATTCTTAACAACTTCAATCAGCTGTGAGGTTTTCTTTACATTGAGTCATAATCCACACTGAAGATTGCAATCCTCGCTCTTCATCAGCAAGTACTTCAAGTCCTCCTTACTTTAGCAAGGTTGTGTAATCTGCGTATCGCAATTTGTTGATAAGCCTTCCTCCAATCCTGCTGCCACATTCTTTATATAATCCAGCTTCTCTGATGCTTTGCTCAGCATACAGATTGAGTAAGTATGGTGAGAGGATACAACCCTGTCACACACCTTTTCTGATTTTAAGCCATGCAATTTTCCCTTATTCGCACAACGGCTTCTTAATCCATGTACAGGTTCTGCATGAGCACAAGGCAGTGTTCTTGAATTCCCATTCTAATTAAGGCTATCCATATGGACTATGCACATAGGTTTGATTATGTTATATGTGGATTTCACAGAGGGCTCGTGAATAGTTGAGGTCATGCAAAGTGGTTTTTTGTCTTTCCATGTATGACAAGAACAATGAGTTCTTTCCACGAGGTTGTCATATCTCCTCTTTGAATATTCTTGGATTTTCCTTTCAATAATTTCTCCTCTATAGTACCATAGATTGGTGCTTTGTTTTTCAATAATAGCTCAGCAATAGACATGCTGTTGTAGTAATTATCCTGGTAAACATGATGCCAACAAGAAGACAGGCTGTGAGATGGATAAATATAGTGTCTTGTAACTTTTTGCCGTCACCCGAAGAAATCTTGAAGTTGCAAATGTAGCCAGTCTCACGTTCACAAAGCGCCCTCACTAAAATCCCATGTTTTTATTATTTTTGCTGGATTATACATTCTGAAGATAATATGTCCTCTCCATGGTATCATTTGCTTCATCAAGTGATAATTGCTGTTTGCTGTTTGGGTACTGAGATTTGGGAATGAAGTGATCCGAAGAGGCCTGACTTGGAGAAGCCTATCTTTGTTAGCTGTCACTTCTGAGTTATCCCTTGGATGAAAGAATAGAAGGATTTGCTCAAAACTCAGTCATAGTTTTAGAAAATATGGGGGGCTGGTTAACCAATGGTGTTTCCATTCTGCCATTTCCATTTTCCCCTTCAATATAGGTAAACCAAGAAACATCTTTATAATGAAGTTTTAACTAGAGGTTTTGTGACATTTTTCCATTTGGTGATGGAATCAGTTGGTTTGAGAAGTAATTAGATCAAAGAAACTGTTATCAAAAAGTAAATCTGGACATCAGCCTGACAGAGTTCTGGTAGTGCAGTGGATTGTGCTGCAGGGTCAGCTGTTCAAACCCACAAGTTGCTCCACAGAAGAAAGATGAGGCTCTCTTCTTGCATAAATATCTACAACCTCAGAAACCCACAAAAGCAGATCTGCTCTGCCCTGTCGGGTCACTTTGAGTCAGAATCAAAAAGTAAATCTGTTACCTTTTTAATACTTTTTTTGGTCACCAAGTTGAACAGTTACACTTGAAGTATTTATGTAATCCTATAAGGTTGGTAAAATATCGTCTTCCATCCATTCTTCAGAATCATTTTCATTGTTAGATACTTATCTGAGTGTCTGGGGTCAGACTCATCACTATCTTCCTACAAAATATCACCTTCCAGCTGACTAATATATTTTCCAAAGTCACTCGGGCATTGAGACAAAATGTCTGTACATAATTCATTGAAAAGTTGGTCAGTGCCTTGACTCATCATTTTTAAACATGTGCCCTACCAAACTACGGATCGGAGCAGTCAGAAGTATCACACATCATGTTTCTGGGAATATGGATTGGACGGTTCCATAAAAAGGCCCATGTAGCAGAGGGTAAGACTGGGGACAGCTGACGTGAGAGACAGCTGCTGAAGGGCCTCACTCTGTAGAACCATCACCTAAACCAAGATAGCTGAGACTGGTCTGAAATGCTCCTGTGAGACCTATATTGCTTGGAGGCTTAACAGCTGTGTAAACTAGTAGGCATGTGTTAACTCTCCATCAGTTAGCATTGTTTGGCTAGGAAAACATGAGTATACTCCTGAAGAGTCAACTCTTGATGAGTCAGCAAAGTATTGACTTAAAGAACATAGAAGGGGGTGGGGGGTTATAAACTAAAAGTACAATAACAGTTGCCTTTACTAGTGCCCTGTGTTTTTTTGTTGAGTATCTTTCCATTTCAGCCTGAGTGACTTCAATCAGCATTTCTGACAGAGCAGGTCTACTTGTAACGAACTCTTCTCTTAGCGGTTTTTTTTTTTCTCTCTGGTAATATCTTTATTTTACCTAATCCTTGGCTGATTAGACAGAATTCTTGGCAGTTTTTCAGGGATTTTTTTGGTTTTTAATTTTTTATTTCTTCAAAACCAAACTCACTGCCATTAAGATGATTCTGACTCATAGCAACCCTATTAAGACACGGTGGAACTGCCCCTGTGGGTTTCTGAGAATGAACTGCCTTGTGATCTCCATTGTTTCTGTTGAAAAATCAGCTGTTAATCATATTGATGATTAGTCTGTGAAGCGTTGCGTCTCTTTGGCTGCTTTCAGTATTCCCTTTTCCCCAAGTATTTGACTCTTGGGTAATACAGTGATCATCTCCTTGATGTTATATTGTGCAGAGTTTGTTGACCTTCTTGCATGAGTGTATGTCTATGTGTGTGTATATATATATATATCTTTCATCAAATTGAAATGTTTTGGATCATTAGTGCCTCGAGTGGCTTAGCTTTGTAAGGAACTACCAGACTGCCTTCAGGTTGGTGATTACATTCTGGGTCCCCCAGCAGTGAAGGGGAGGGAGAGTTCTCGTTGCTCCATCCCTCCTGGTGTCGTCTGTCTGACATTCACGTTTGCATGGTAACTAAGGGGATAGTACTCTAGGATGAATCATCTTGATAGGGGTCCTCCGTCCACATGCTTGTGTTACGTTTACAAAAAAGTGTACACGTGCACTTGACTTGATCTGGCAACATTCTGTTCAGAATTTTTGCATCTATGTTCAAAAGTAGGATTGTCCTGTTTTCTTTTCTCAGAATTATCTTTTTTAATTAGTAAAGGTACAGAGAGCAGAGATTCAGAATTTCTATTTATTAAATACAGCTATTACTCCAATACAATACACTCCCTTTAAAACAACAAAACTAACTAACCTTTGTTTGGGAATCATCTTAAATTTACAGAAAAGTTAAAAACATACTAGAGTTTCCATTTTCCCCCTTACTCAGTTTCTCTTATTATTGACATCCTACTTAACTATAGTGCATTTGTCAAAATTAAGAAACCAACTTAAAAATTTTTTTGTTTAACCAACATTTTAAAATTATATTCACTTGGGGTTTTTTTGGTTTGTAAACCACAGCCCGGACTCTATCTGGATCTCATCAGATTTTTAATTCATGCCCATTTTTTTCTTCTTCTGGGACCCAGTCTAAGGCCGTAACATTGTTTTTAGTTGTTAGGTTTCCTTGGTCTGCACCCATTTTGACAATTTCTCGTTCTTTCTTTGTTTTTCGTGAATTAACAGTTTTGAAAAATACTGGCCAGGTACTTGGTAGAACATGCTCCAATTTGGGTCTGTCTGGTGGTGGTTTTGTTTGGTAATGGGCTGTAACTAGAATACCACAGAGGTGTATGCAGGCCCTTTCCCAGTGCATTGTAGGAGAATGGGCATGTCATCCTTGGTCATGTTTAAGGTGGTTGTTTGAGATAAGCAGTAATTGCCAGAATTCTCCATTATGTAAAGTCACATATTTTCCTTTTTTATACTGTTCTTTGGAATCTAGTCACTAAGTCTAAATCATGCTCTGGGCGTGATGGAAGGGTTATGCTTCATCTCAGAGAGGAGGAGTATCTACGTACTTTATTTTGAATTCTTTTGTAAGAAAGATTTGTCTCCCCACCCCCTAACTATCTATTCAATCATTTGTTTATTCTGTTCTGTTTTAATCGGAATTTGATATACTTTAATAAACACTTATAATATTGAAAACCTCGTGTTTCTCTGTTGGCTTATAAACTCTTTGAGAGAAGGACTGTATTTCTGATTTATCTTTGTGTACTCTTAGTCTGTAGTCCCTTTATTCATGATCGACTTCTAGTAGTTTAAAAGAATAAATTAATACATTTTTACTTCATCTGAAAAGTACCTTTTCCTCTGCTAATGTAGATAAAAGATCATTTCATTTGATTGAAAAGTCAGTTTTATAAAGTAAAACATTAATAGATTTATGCATGTTCCAGTGACATTAAGTGAGGATGCACAGGACCATGTGGTACTTCCTTCTGTTGTGCACAGGGTTGCTGTGAGTGGGAGCCGAGAACCACCACCCCTGGAAATTACCGTAAGCTTTTGAAGTTGGTGTAATATCTCAAATATTTCTGATAGCTACTTAAGTGTTCCTTGACACCACTTTTGGAAAAAATTTTGGTATTTGTTGGGTTATTGATAGGTAAAGGTAACCCACTATCTTATCTGTTTATCGTTTAGACCACTAGAGCAGCTCAAGACCTCAGCAGAAAAATTATCATCAGATGCTGTCACCCAGATAACAACAGAAAGCCCAGAAAAGACCTTGTTTTCGTCTGAGATTTTTATTAATACTGAAGATCGTGGGAGTAAAATTCCAAAGCCCAAGCCTGTAGGTCAACCTATCAGGTTTGCTTCATCGTCTTCAATCCAGCACATTTCTACTACACGTTGCACACTCGGTAAGACACTGTGATTGCACTGTAGTTCAAGTTGCCAGTGTTAGTTGTGACTGTTTCAGAAAATAGTAGTTCACAAGTTAACTGTGGCTTCAGAAAATCTAAATGTGACTTAAACATTGGGATCCACCATAACTATGTCACCCTTTGGTAGCTATAAGGTGACCGGACAGTCCCAATTTTTAACAATTTTTCCCATATCCCGCAGCGTTTTTAAAAAGTCCCGAGTTTCAGAAAGAATGCACGACAAGCTAGGATATACTGTTTTCGGCTGCCCTGTGGCTATTTCGCCAGGATAAGAGTTTTATCAGTGGTGCCCCGCTTTACCCATGTTAAAATCTGGTCACCTTAGCTATGAAGAAAGTATGCTTTATTTTGTTTTATCTCGGTTTTACTGTCAAGCTGTCAAGTATGATTATTGTACTAGAGTTAACATGCGGAGCTTATATTTCCTGTGGTTAACTTTATACCTTCATACCCAACATAGAAGTTGGAAGGGGGAAAAAAGAAGTTAGAAGAATGAAGTACTGTTGAGGTCTGCTTTTAAAAAGGCAGATGAATTATCAGCATCTTATATTGTAGTAATGTTAGGTGCTGTAATAAATAGATGGCAGAATATACTGTGGCGCAAGCACGACAGCAGTTTAGCATTTCTCACTCATAAAACGGTCAACCCAGGGACACTATGACTCCTCTATCTTTAAAATGTGGATCCCAAAGTTATCTTGGATCCACTATTCCAGTCTGGGACAAAGAGCATAGAGGTGTGTGTACATGAGAGGTTTTTATGAGCCAGGCCTTCTCAAAAACTCACTGCCTTCCAGTTGATGCCAATCCACAGTGACCCTGTGGGACAGAGTAGAACTGTCCCTGTGGGTTTCAGAGACTTTAACTCTTTATGGAAGTAGAAAGCCTCATCTTTCTCCCCGAGGAGCAGCTGGTAGTTTCGAACCGCTGACCTTTCAGTTAACAACCTGACATGTAACCACTACGTCACCAGGGAGCCAGGCCTTAGAATGGCTCAAATAAGTTTCCACAGGATAGGAATGTAGTTGGGTTGTATTTTCCAAGAAGAAGCAGAATAGGTTTTGGTGAAAACTAACAGTCTCTACATGAAGTCTACATTTAGAACATTATGTACTGTAATTTCAATACTGTTTTGATAGTGCTTATACTGTATAATCTAAAATCTTTTAAGCTTTTCTACATATGCCTAATGAGAAAGAAAATTGCTTAGTTCCAGTTTTAAGGTACACTGAATTGTATTTAATAACCACTATGTTAGGGTTCTCCATTGAAGTATCTAGAAGATACCTAGAAAGACACATGTGGAATCCTTGGTGGTACCAACAGTTAATATGTTCACTTGCTAACTGGAAGGTTGACAGGTTTGAGTCCACTCAGAGGTTAACTCAGAAGAAAGCCTTTGGGGTAGGCATGACCATGAATTAGAATGGACTCATTGACTGGTTTGACTTATATATACATATTATATAATTTTGTTAGCTAGATGGACACAGAGGGAGTTGTTACTTGGTTGGGTTTTGATGACTGTGCTCATGTGATTGTTGTTGTTGGGGTAGTTAAATGCCGTCGAGTCGGTTCTGTGTACAACAGAACAAAGCCCTGTTCAGTCGTGCGCCATCCTCACAGTCGTTCATACGTTTGAGCCCATTGTTGTGGCTGCATGCGCTAAAGGGGCTGCCGAGTTGAAATTTGTAGAGCAAGCTAGCAGACTAGAAACTCCGAGAGAAGTTATTGTTACAGTACTGACCCTAAAAATTTTAGGGAAGGCTGGTAGGATTTACATTCAGGCAGAATGTAATGCTACATACAGTCTCATGGCAGATTTTCCTCATTTGTAAACCTTAATTTTAACTCTTAGGACCTTCCACTGATTGAATGAGACCCACCCATCTTTTAAGGGTGATCCCCTTTACTTAAAGGCAACTCATTGGAGATGTAGCCATGTGTACACAATACTTCCACAGCAACATGTAAGTTAGTGCTTGATTAAGTAGTTGGGTACTATACCCCAGCCAAGAAGTCCTTGTGGTACAAGGTCAGCAATTCAAACCCCCTAGCCATTTTTCGGGAGAAAGATGAATCTGGCTGGTCCCATAAAGATTTCTAGGCTCAGAAACCCAATGAAGCAGTTCTACTCTGACCTGTAAGGTAGCTGTGATCCTGGATTGACCCAACGATACTGGGTTTAGTATAGCCAAGTCAAGACATAAAAGTAACCATCACAGCTACCAAATTTTATATACACTGGTAAAGGAGTAAAATCAACACATTAATACACTAATAGTAACATGTGTAATAATAATCAAATAATAGTTGGGTAAGTGTTACAAAGCTCTTTATCTCCTCTATTAAGTGTTTGGAGGCACCCTGCTCAACCATCAAACCTCTTGCCCAAAGAGACTCAGCTCTCTTGCTCCGTGGATCAGGAAGCCCTCTCACTCTCTCTTGGTTCTGCCTCTACTGCCACCATGGTACTGCCACTGCTTCTTAGTCTCCTGTGTTACACAGCTTTCTTTATCTGACTCCTGGACCTGGGATGATCTCATTTTGTAGAGGAGGAAAATGAGACCAAACTGTTCAAGGTCACATAGGTAGGAAGTGGTAGCTTCAGTGAACATAAAATCAACTGATTGATTGCCTATCAAGTGTGTATTGGAGTAAACGATAAGCTGTTTTAGCAACTTCCAGAATGCAGGCTGGGGATGCAGCGCAAGTAGCCTGCTTCATGTCTGTGGCTCTGGTTTCCCTCGGGGTGACTTCTGTCTCTAGGTCCAGAATGGCACTGCATCGGTCCAAATCTCCAGCCGCTAGGAGGTGAGGCACTTTAATGGAGTGCCTAGAACTTGCATCCATTATTCTCACTCTCATACTGCGGGCACAGATGTAATCACATGGCCTTAGATGGCTTTGAGGGCGGCTGGGAAATAAAGGACATGAGTGGGTGGCTCTGTGCTGATTTAAAGATCAGGGAGTTTTATTTCTAATAAGAAGGGAGGGGGTGGATAATGCCAGGGGACCATTAGCAATTTCTGCATGAAAGAAAAGCATCAATACTCATATCTCATTAATTAGGCAAAGGGCAAAAACAGATGATTTCCAAAAAGAGCAATGTGTGTGATTAACAGGTATATAAAAAAAGATTCAACTTCTGTAAAACTCAAATAATTCTAAAATTTAAAAACAAAATTGCATTTACCTCTAGGAATTTTTTTGTAAGGATAAATTGAAATGGGTATTTTAAAAGTAATTTAGCAGTTAGCAATAGGTTTTTAAAAACTTTGTAAATGGCATACCCTTTTCACTCTAGAATTAGAGAATTTACCTGAGTTAGGGTAGCAGGGGACGTGCGTATGCTCTACACCGGAAAATCTTTATTGACACAACTTATCGTTGAAAATTTGACCTCAAACTGAGCTTTCATCATTGGGAGAAGAGTTAAGTACATTTACACATGGTATCGAATTAAAATGTAAAGACTCAGAAATAAAAATGATTGTTTTCATTATAAATATGCAGCAGGAAAGCAGAATCCCATAGTTCCTTATACATACTATATGCAGTGTAGATAGCTATGCCAACAAATTAGAGACAAAATACTGTGATAACATGCATTAAATTGTTAGTAATGGTATCTTCGAATGGCAGAACTTGGTCTCACTTTTATGTGTCAATGTTGAGAATATTTTTGTTGTTTTTTTAATCGTTTTATTAGGGGCTCATACAACTCCTATCACAATCCATACATACATCAGTTGTGTAAAGCACATTTGTACATTCATTGCCCTCATCATTCTCAAAACATTTGCTCTCCACTTAAGCCCCTGGCATCAGCTCCTCATTTTTCCCCTCCCTCCTTGCTCCCCCCTCCCTCATGAACCCTTGATAATTTATAAATTATTATTTTGTCATATCTTGCCCTGTCCGACGTCTCCCTTCACCCACTTTTCTGTTGTCCGTCCCGCAGGGAGGAAGTCACATGTAGATCTTTGTAATCGGTTCCCCCTTTCCAACCCACCCTCCCAGTATCGCCACTCACACCACTGGTCCTGAGAGGATCATGTGCCCTGGATTCCCTGTGTTTCCAGTTCCTATCTGTACCAGTGTACATCTCTGGTCTAGCCAAACTTACAAGGTAGAATTCGGATCATGATGCGGAGGGGGGGTGGGGGGGGGGAGCATTTAGGAACTAGAGGAAAGTTGTCTTTTTCATCGTTGCTACATCGCACGCTGACTGGCTCTCCTCCCCAGTGTTGAGAATGTTTTATTTTAAGAAATGTCTTTGTTGTTTTGATCTTTACCTCCTCAGCTCAGCCTTCACTGTTGCCATACAAGCCTTCTGGATGTTCAAAGATGTACTACGTTCCACAGTTAGAAAAAATTCCTCAATTCCTAGAAGCCAAATCAGACACTACTCTTGAGAGTTCACACTCAGGTATGCAGAAAGTCTTCACAACTGTATTTGTTGAAATTTGACTCTGGAGTGACCCTTGACAGCTCAGTGTTTGACTGTTGGTGGGTGGCATGTGCTATAGATGTCTGTTAGGTCCAGTTAGTTTATCGTGCTGTTCAAGTCTATTTCCTTGCTAAGTTTCTGCCTAGTTGTTATATCCATCACTGAAAGTAGGCATTGAGGGCTCTCCATATTAATGGTGGTTGTGTAGTTCTAATTTATTCTACTGGTTTTAATAGGAAAAAATAGTTAACTCAAGAATATGTAGGCCCAAGTGCATATTTCTGTGATATGGTGCAGTAAACAGCACAGAGGGCCTCTGACCACCTCCAGCTTCTCCATTGCCCTGAGGCTGGGGTCAGACACGCCTCTTGCTCTATCCTCCTTGACCCTTCCTCCCACCGCATTCTGCCTCTGCTGTTCCTGTTCCAGGATCTGTTGTAAAGGCCACATAGAATTCACAGACAATACTCACAATTATGGGCTTCATAGGTTACCACCATCCTGATGCCAGAATTGGAGGAAGGCTCATTAACAGCCTGCAATATGAAGGTGACACAACCTTGCTTGCTGAAAGTGAGGAGGACTTGAAGCACTTGCTGATGAAGATCAAGGATTGCAGCCTTCAGTATGGATTATAAGTCAATGTAAAGACGTCCAACATCTGTGCAACTGGACCAATAGGTAACATCATGATAAGTGGGAAAATGATTGAAAGTTGTCAAGGATTTCATTTTGGTTGGATCAGTTAGTGCTCATGGAAGCAGCAGCCAGGAGAAGAAAAGACGCGTTTCAGGGGGTAAATCTGTATAAGAGCTCTTCAGAGTACTGAAAAGCAAAGATGTTACTTTAAGGACTAAAGTGCACCTGACCCCAGCCATGCTATCTTCCATTGCCTCATATGCATGTGAAAGTAGGACATTGAGTAAGGAAGACAAAAGAAATTGTGTGTTTGAATTACACTGCTGGTGAAGAATACTGAAAGTACCATGGCCTGCTCACAGGACCAGCAAATCTATCTTGGAAGAAGTAGAGCCAGAGTGCTCCTTAGAAGCAAGGGTGGTTAGACTTCAGTCTCACATGTATACTAGGGGGTACCCCCCCCCAAAAAAAATACAGAATTTTTTTAAGCTATGTATTTTAATTTTTTTTTTTTAACAAAACAACCTTATCACCTTCAAATTACTCTCCCATTATACTTAATACATTTGTCAAATCTGCTATTCCATTCTTGGAAACATTTTTCAAACTCATCCGTTTGGATGGCTGATAGCACCTCCCTCGTTTTTTTCTTCACCACTTCTACATCGTCAAATCGATAACCAGGTGCATCAGAGACTGTGGCACAGAGGCTCAGCAGCGACACTGAAACTGGGAGACCTTCTCCTCATCTGGCCTGAGACTGGAACTGTGGGACAGATTGACAGGTGGGCTGATGTCCTAACCCAAGGAGGCAAATACCAAAGGATGATGTGACTGAGAGACTGTGGACCTGAGAGACACTTGGCTGCCACATGGCTGAGAGGCTGCGAACCAGAGAGAGAGACTTTGGCTTCAAGGTCACATAGGTAGGAAGTGGTAGCTTCA